GGTGTGCCTGTCAACCACTCCTGTCCATAAGTGAGACGTGGCCACTCACAGCACCTGTCACCTCTATACTCAATTCTCCTTGGTGTGATAAGTTGAAGAGAGGTAACCCGCTAATAATGTCCAAAAGCTTCAAGTGACATTAAAGCTTCCAATCTTTCCAGATCTGGAAGGGGAAATGACCAAGGAGGACATTCTGGGCTTCTGCTTGTTTTATAAGCATTAGTCAGGCTTCTTGGTTGTGAACACATGAAGTCTGGTCAATGGAAGCAGAAGAATTTTTCGTAAGGATTACAGGTACCACACAACAAAAAGGACACCATCACCAATTCTACCACCACTACTCCTAGGTACTGCCAGCTTCTGGGGACCTGGCCACCAAAATGAAGATGAATTTGTCCCTTTATCCTTATATCACTGGATCAAGAGTCAAAGTTCCAAAGCAGAGAATCTGACTGGCCAAGTTGGGTCATAGGCTGAAGTCTTAGTTGTCAGGGCTTGGGAATCCAAGTATCTGGCTCCTTATGCTCCAGAGTGGGAGAGAAGGTCTTAAGACTCACACAGTGGGGGAGTCCCCCAAACAGAAGGGAGTTTGCATGCTGGTCAACCACAGAAAAATGCCAGGTGTCCACTACATCACACTTCAATAATGTAGCATCGATATGCTTGGATGATATATTATTTATATTTATAAAGATGGGTAAAACCCAGTCTCTGCAGTCATAAATCCAGTGCTCTCAGGGGTGAAGACTTACAATTACCGTACATAGGCATTTTAGGAATTCTTGCTCTAAAGGCTGACAAAATCACCAGCCAAAGTTGAATTTTAATCACTTAGCAGTTTCCTGGTACTCTAACTCATTGCTATTTTAGAAGTTGAGCACTAAATGCTACTAGCATGTCACAAAATTCCTGTGCTGGCACAGATGAACCCAGGGGACCTTTCAACTCTTGATCAAGTTCCCATTCCCCTCCAAGTCCTCAAAACAGCAAGACAACTTCAGGCTTTGCTTTTCCTAGTTCAGCAGTGACTCTGGAACTCCAGGGACTCTTTGGCCTTTGCCCTAGCTCCCTGCAGAAGCGTCAGAAGGAAGGGACGATCCATGCTGGAAAGCTCTTTTAGTCAGCAAAGCCCTCCAGGCAATCAACAGAACCATACCATAGAGGAGGTGGCCTGACTACAGAGGACAACTGGCAAAGTCAAGGGCTCAGCTCGCAGTTTCCTCATTCCAAAACAGCCAGCACAGGCAGCCCTGGGTTAGGAATGAGATAGGTTCTATAGCTTTACTCTTAAGTTGAATTGGTATGGGAGTTGGAAAAGTTTATTTACCTATTAAGCGTAATAGCCTCCATTTGTAAGTGCAAGTCATATAGAAATTGGATGTTTATAACTCGGGGACTGCCTGTGAACCTCCAACCAAGGACATAAAAAGTTGCAGTGACTTCATTTCCAGGAATCTGACTCCACAGTATTGTGTTGTAGGGGAAAGCCAAGTGTTCTCCCCACTCTCACCCTGCAGGCACAGCACTCTGAACACCTGATATATGGGGCTTGTTTTCCCACATACCATGGAATTCTGCAGAAGGTACCAGCTGGGTGTCCTGATTCAGTTCAGTTCTGACTCTGTCTACCTGGAGATGGCACAGGTTCAGGGTTCACTTCCATAAGACTGCCTCCCACTTCAGAAGTCAATGGCAAGTAGTAGGCTGTGACCTATACCTGTGATTTATAGCCTATACCTGGCTATAAATCGTGATTCCTACAACCTCCATCTTGGTTGGGCTGATTTGCTAGAGTGGCTCACAGAACTCAAGGAAAAAAACACTTTACTTCTAAAAAACAACAACACTTTATTTCTGTTTACCCCTTTATGATAAAGGGTGTTCTTTAACACAGACGAACACACACAGAGAGGAGATGCACAGGGCACGGTGTATGGGAAGGGGTGTGGAGTTTCCATGCCCTCTCTGACACCACCCTTCAGGAGCCTCGTGTTCAGCTATCCAGAAGCTTGAGCACAGGCCCCGTGCACCAGGGTGGCAGGTTCAAAACCAGACAGAGCCTGCTAAACAAACAGAAGCTCATGTAAGCCAGACCTTTCAGGCTTTTATAGAGGCTTCAGATGTAAGCATGTTTGACAGAACCATTGGTCATTGGTGTCAGTTCAACTTTCAGCCCCTCTCCCTTCCCTACGGATGGGGAGAAGGAGCTGAAAATCCCAACTCTCTAATGGTGCATTGGTCATTCTGGTGACCAGCCCCCAAAGAAAGCTATCTAGGGTCCCCCAGTCATCAATCATCTCATTAGCATATAAAAGACACTTTCATCACCCTGAAGTTTCCGAGGATTTGAAGAGCTTTGTATCAGGAAGCAGGGGCTACAACCAAATATGCATTTCACAATACCAGAGGCAGATGTACTTGCACAAGTACATAAAGATAATGTACCGGGATATTCACTAAAGCAGGCGTCCTCAAACTACGGCCCACCTAGGACATTTATCCGGCCCACCGGGTATTTTTGCCGCTGCTGCCTGTCCTGCTTAGCAGCCGACTCATCCTGGGGCCCGGAGTCCAGCCCTCCAACGGTCTGAGGGACAGTGAACTGGCCCCCTGTTTAAAAACTTTGAGGGCCCCTGCACTAAAGGACAGTTGGCAATTGAAAAAAAAAAAAACCTGGAAATAACCATCTACCAATAGTTTAAGATATTACTGTGCAATCATACCATTGACATAAATGCAATTATGACAAAGAAAGAAGTAGGGCACAAGAGATATGATAATACTGTTGATAAACGGAGAAGAGCTAGTGGTGGAACAGATTGCATAGCATGATTCCATTTGCTTTTTAGAAAGGCATATACAAATCGTCTCATGTATGTATGAAAATGCTGCAAGGGCAACTGAGGAATCATGGGAATTTTGAAGAGAGGGAGGGGCCAAGGAAAGAAAATCCTTTACTTTTCACTTTACGTCCTGTTCCTGTTTGACTATTTACTGTGAGTACATAGCCTATTTATAATTGAAACAAATTTAAAATGCTGTAAAAGTATAGCAGGAAAAAGGAGTAAAATTGGCCTTGTAGCAAGTAGGACTCAAGGATCAAGCAATAATTTTTCCCCAAACAAGGTGCCATGCTGAAGGCTGTGGGAAGGCAGGCTCCTCTCAGTTAAGAATGCTGGAGCACAGAGGGGAAACCTGCCTATATCTTTTCCTTGATGTCCCTGGGGCCAAGCCTGCAGTCAGCTCTGGGGAGACTCTGCATTAGATGTGATCTGAGACAAGTGAGTCAGGTAGAGCGACCTTCTGGCCTCCTGCCACTGCCAGGCGCAGCAGTTGTCACTGAGATAGAAATCCCCTAGAGCTGAAAAGCCAACAGTTATAAAAGCATGGAACAGGAGTTGGCCAGACCTGGTTTGTAGTCCTGAGATCATGGTGGTGATGTTAGTTGGTGATAATGGCTAAGAGGCCAGCGGAGGCTTATTTCAAACTGAACTGACCTGTAGAGTAGAAAAAAGAATGCCCTGAGGATAATGACTCCAGGGAATTCTGTCTTCTGGATTACACCAAGCATCCCTCACAACAGCTTGTATTGAAGCTTGAATGAAAAGAGCATGTGTGGGAGTTGGGAGGGGCAAGCTTCTAGAAGAGGCCCTAACCAGCCCTGGCCATGGGGGTTTTATCCAGTTGAAACACAGCCACCCACAGCTGCAAGAGAAGGGCTGGAGATTCATCAGCCAGAGTGGGACAAAAGCCACAGTGCTTCTTCCCCACCCCAGGGGTGCTGGCACTTGCCTCTACTACCTGCGTTGCCACTTCCCACTGCCCCAAATCCTCCAGGTGGTGTTTCCCCTTTCCTTCTGCTCCAACTCTTCTGCGCTTCTAAGAGCTAACACCAATGTGTTCAGCATGTGGAACAGTTAAAAACCAAACCCTCTTCTCCCGCCCCCAACCCCGACTAGACAGTCAGAAGGGCCCCGATACCAGCATCAGGAAGGAACCTAAATGCTACCGTTTTCAGCCTTCCACTGCAGGAAAATGCCCACATCAGCTTCGGCGGGCACACTCAGATCCCTCGGGACAAGGGTGGCTGGAGGGGGGTCCAAACCGCCCTGGGTGGGTGGACAGTCAAGGCTGGACAAAGATTCAGGTTTGGGCAGGGGCCACCTAATCCGACCTGGGCTGCAGGCCCAAGACCTCTCCATCCTTCCTACATGTTCTGCTCAGCCGTGTCGTTGGTCCATCTTCCAGGGTAACCCCTGCAACTACTAAGGCAAGAAGGCCTGTTCCAGCCGCATCCTCACACCCCATGCCCATCCCGCAGGCGATCCGGCTTTCGGCCTCCTCTGCACATCTTACAAAGCAGCCCTCAAGAAAGGTCCACAATGGGGTTCCCTAGCATGGTGACCTTCCCCCGCCCTCCGCCCCCAGTCCTACAGGGGAATGTTCCCCAACAGTACCGGCCCAGCCCTGGTCTGGTTATACTTGTCTCCTGAGGACCAGCCTTGTCCGAGGACAGCAGTGTATGGGAGACCGCGCGGCCTGACTTGAAATCTCCCCCCGGCCTGTCTGGGTCCCTGGGACAGGGCGGCCGCGCCCCCGCCCCCATGCGTTCACAAACGCTGAGGCCACCGAACCCTTGGCCCCATCACAATCTGCCGGCGCACCGCGACGCGGCGGGGCCCAGCCCAGCGGCTCGGCGCGCTGCGCTCCAGGCGATCGGTGCGGGAGGACTCGCAGCCGCGCCTGCCTCGGTGGCCGCGCTGGGTAGGTAGCTGGGGGGACCGGAAGGATGGCGAGGAAGTCGGAGAGGGTTTCCTGAGATGAGAGATTACTTCCGTCTGGGCTCTGGCCTCTCTCAGGAGCCGGTTCGCTGTGGCTCGGGCAGTGGGGTGCGCGGGAGTCGCGGCCGCGCCTTGCCACCTGCAGCGCCCGGGGCGGGCCGCGGGGCCCTCGGCGGGACGCGCGCGGCCCTGTCTCAGGGGCTAACACGGAGTGATCCTTGCAGGTGGGAGCATTTCGGAGCGCCCAAGCCATGGTGGCCAAACAGCGGATCCGGATGGCTAACGAGAAACACAGCAAAAACATCACCCAGAGGGGGAACGTAGCCAAAACCCTGGTAAGGCGGGGGCGGCGCCGGCCGGGCCAGCCGGGCAGCACGGGGCGGGGGCGGGGCCGGCGAGCGGGCAGCGGCGCAGGGACAACCGACCGTCCCGCCCTCCCCGCCCCGCTCCGGCCCGCCCCCCGGGGCTTGCGGAGAGGGGGCTGGGAGCCGGCTCTGGGCGGCAAGGGCTTCTGAGCACCCTCGTGGGCAGAGAGGGCGCTGGTTGGTCGTGGCCCCTCTGGGAGTGGCTGCTGGGCTGCTCCGGAGGTGCACAGAAGCCCCCACCCCCACCGACCACAGGAGAGAATCAGGCCTTCTTCGTCCCTGGGAAAGACAGAAAACCACATTCTTAGGGGCCAATTAAGGCAACTGCGTGGCACAAGGCTTGGAACCTAATAGGTACCAGGACGTTTGTTGAAAGAATGAATAAATGAGCGAATGAACGAATGCATGAACGGTTAAATGGAGTCCACTTGTCATCTCCCCCTCCCGGACTCCACTCCTGTCCTCCCTCCACAACAGACACACACCAAATAAGGTTTCCTTTCCAGGCCCTGTGATGCTCTCCCTGGAGATGTTGAAAGGGCTCAAAGCGGGGAGTTGGAATGGAAGCCCCACTCCCCTCCAGACTCCTTTTTCTCTTTTACTTCTTTTCCAGAGAGGCCGCCCCTGGGCTAAAGTCTAAGTGCAACATTACTCTTCTTCCCACCCTGTGAATTCAGACTCATTATGATGCTGTAACTTTAGAGACCAGTTTATGGCCAGGCGCTCTGTGCCCCCAGAACTATAGATTAAAGATTTACAACTGGACTTTTAACTAAAACCTGTGCTATGCTCAGGGGTTTCTTCTAGCAAATCAGACAACCTTCGTCAGAAAATGCCAGGCCTTGGGACTTTGGACCTGCAAAAAGGCATGAGCTGGACGGTGGTTGGACAGAGTTAGCCTCCATGTCTCTGAGCAAAGGCTCCTGAGATCTGTTATGTTATCCCATACCGTTAAGTAGAAATCCATCTAAAGCCTGGGATTTGGCTGGGAAAGCTTGCAGATTTGATGAAGCAATTCCTTTTAGCCAAAGCAATTATGCTGGTTTGATTAACTGACCAAAAAGCTAGATCTGTAACCATTACACTGGAATTCTTGCAAAACCAAGCAAAATTATGGCAGAGAAACCTTAAGATCAAACTCAACTCTACTCAGAAATTTATATACAGCTTCAGGCTTAAGTAATCCTTAAAATGTCTCTGATTTAGCAATTAGATCATTTACTTGTGGGATGGCAGCAAAATGCCAATGTGCTATCAAATTGGAACCATTTTTGCATGTAGAACTGTGTTTTCCCTATGTACTGTTACCCAGGGGGGAAAAATTGCTTCTCTAATTAACACTGAAAAACAATTTATAATGGATGTTAGGGCACACAGGATTTTATGTCCCTAGGAGATCAATTCTTCTTTCTCAAAGTATCAGACCTGCTAGCTGACATAGTGAAAATATCCAGTCATGTGGCTCCTATTAATGAAATAAAGAACTAGAGTTTCATTGTTGGATCTCCGTTGACAACTTATCTGACTACAAAAGTAACATGAAAATAAGAACTAATTTTCAGGGCTGTTTTATGTGTCAGGCTCTGTAGACACGGTGTCTGCCACCTCTAGCATTGCAAGACCACTAGAAAATGTTTGAGACCCAAAACAAAACTGATTGGCACCAAAATAAGAAAGGAAAATGAGAAAAAAATGGAAAACACTGTTTAAATATTCAGAAAATGTAACTAGTCACCTGCCATTCAACTCAACTTTCAGAGCTACATTTAAATTGTATTTAATGTGCACTATGAGTGCATTCATTTTAATAGGTTTTGATGCACTGTGGGGTGGGCCCTTCGAAGTGCCTGGCGCCTATGAGGGTTTTTAAATGGCCCAAGTAAATTTGTAATGAAAGGCTTCCAAATTGAGCCTCAATAAATGGTAGCTTTGAATTGGTTAGAGGGGTCTTAGTTATTGTAAATGGATCAACATCCAAAAAGAAAAATGAAATTCTCTTTCAAAAAGAAACTATAAATTCTAAATCTAATTTTCCCAGCACAAGTCAAACATGATTATACTTTGATAGAAGCAACTTGCAAATGATCACTTCATTCAGGATGAAATTCAGTAAATGGAAACATATGTATAGATTCCAACTAAAAATTCAGACTAATCGTCCTTTAATTGTATGCAGATGCTTCAGTATAGGAGTAAATCAGTATTATTTTCCCAGCTAGCATTTTAATCCAAGAAATAGAGAAATGGAATAATCATTTTGCGATTATACAGTAGTGACTTCTCCAGAAGTAAGAGGAAACTTAAAATTCAGAGTTTTGAGTTATCCTGTTGGTATATTATTGCAGGGAAAGTAATTCCCTGACATTTTGGAGCCAACCATTTTGGAGAATGGCAACCATTGTCTTTACCTTTCTCAGCAGTAGAGTCAGGTTTATGTGAATCGTCTCAACTAGACTATGCTGGGCACTTTATAAAAAAAAAAATAGTAACCCAAAGCTGTCAAAAAAGGACATTTGGCATTAGGATCAGCCAAAGTCCTCAAATAATGTTGAATTCATGGGTGAATATCATCCAAAGGGTTTTTGTTTTATATACTCCAAGCTTTGCATGCTGATAATCTGGGGGGGGTTGCAAATGAAAAATAAAGGACTCAGTTGGTATCTGTACTAGGGCAATTATTCATTTATAGGCTTCTGCATTCACTTGTTAGCTTTGCTGAAAATAGAGCTGAAATGAATTTTTTATACGGCATTAATGGGGCAACAGAAACAGAATTGGTTTATAGACAAATTGTTAGGAAGGTGGTAGAAGCGGGTAGGGAAGAATAAATGTCACACTTTACTCAGGTAACTTTATTGAATAGCTCTGTTATTTGCTTGATCTAAACTTGGCCAAGTCTTAAGTCCAAAAGAATAACATGGTTATCTTATGCAATTATTTGAGGCTGATTTTGTCCTCGTCTGGTCAAAAGCAGCTGATTCTCTTGCAGTGTGACTTGCTGGAGTTGAAGGGGTAGTAGATAAAAGTTTGTCAAGGACAAAGAAGTGAAGGTTTTAATCCTTAGTCAAAATCTACCTGCCATTGACACTTTAATCCATTCTTCTCTAGTAAGAGAAATGGTGGGATACCCCTATACCAGTTAGAAAGTAGTAACAAAATAGCAATATCCTTCTTAGCCGCTGTGTTTACTCCACTTGACCTTAAAAGTCATATTTAATGAAACTTGCATGCTTATTCATTGTTCAATGAACATTTATTATTTCCTATATCTAAGTTCTGTGCCAGGCATTTCTAGACATTGCCACATGAACGAGACATAGTTCCTGCCCCTGTGGGGTCTGAAGTCTCATGGAGAGACAGATATCTAACACGTTATCATAGGAATAAATACAGACCTACGATCTGTGACAAATGCTCTCAAGAAAAAGTATACGATGCTTGATGAAAGTGTCTCAAAATGTATGTGAAAACACTACACTGTACTCCCTGTTTGCATTAATGTATAGAGCTATCATTTAATAAAAAAATAAAAAAAAATTTTAAAAAAAGTATACGATTATACAAATGACAAGTGAACCCCAGTTAGGTCAGAAAGGGAAGTCTCCTAAGAATGTAACAGGTAAGCTGAGAACTAAAGGATTTTGTTGCCTTATCTGTAATTAAATACGTTTTTTTTTATGTGAAAAGTCAATTTATATGAGCCTAGAAGTTAACTTCATTTTATATATAAATGCAACATCAGAGGGTTTGCAGTTTTAGTATATGATAAATTTTATAGGAAAGCAACTACAATGAAAATCCAAGGAAGAAAATACTTTTTATTGTTAGAAACTTCAATGAAACATGTTCAACATTTCAGAAAAGTATATCCTTGATGACAACACCATTCGTTTTTCCAGGTTTTTCTTTATTTGTGTTATTTTTAGAGACAGAGTCTCACACTGTCACCTAGGCTGGAGTGCAGTGAGGTGGTCTTAGCTCACTGCAGCCTCAAACTCCTGGACAAAAGGGATCCTTCTGCTTCAGCCTCCTGAGTAGCTGAGACTACAGGTGCCCACCATGATGCTCGGCTATTTGCTATTTTTTTTCTTTTTTACTGTTTATAGAAACAGGGTCTCACTATGTGGCCCAACTTGGTCTCAAACTCCTGACCTCAAACAATCCTCTTGCCTTGGCCTCCCAAAGTGCTAGGATTATAGACATGCTTCACTGCACCCATCCACCGGTCATTTTTTGGAAACATTAAGATTATTTGCCTTAAGTCTGAATGTGTAGCTGTCCTATTTATATGGATATAAACATACATTTTAGCTCTTATTTTATAGTGTCAAAAATAATTTTAATATCAAGAACATTTAATTAAAATTTCAAATTAGGTTTGATTATTTCAGCCACAAATAAACATTTGTCAATATACCTATGCTACCAACATGTTTTTCATTTTGAGTGTATGAGAGAGCTCTTTAACTCCTATTGAATACAGACTCCCCACCCCCACCCCCGCCCCAGGCTAATGAGAAAATAATTACTGAATCCTTTACTTTTTTAACTCTTTTTTCTCCCTTTTTGTTTGAGAAATTCACTGCTTTTTTGATGCCTCTGTCAGAAGATATTTGTTGATCCCTTGATTGATTTAGTTTGAAAAGGTCCAAGCCCTACCCTGCAATCAGATGTAGAGATGTCATGGAGGGTCCTTCTTACTATGTCTGTGCTTTGGGTTTGAGAAGAGCAGGAGGTATGAAGGGCCACATTCGTGCAGCTTCGCCAGTCCCCTTCTGCTTCCCAGAGAACACAAGGACTTCTCCCAAGTGCAAGCTTCATCCAGGCTTTATTACCAATGCTGCTTTGCTCATATCCATTCACAGTTGCTGTGGCGCTTCTCTTGTTCTAAGGATTTCCATTTTACTCACTTCCTAACTTTTTTTTTTTTTTTTTTTGGTATATAAAAAGTTTTTAGAAAATGTCTATGCTTCTCTGGTCCTGCTTGGAATTCCCAGGTGCAGGAATTAAACATGAATCTAGGCATGGAAGACACCCAGGCTCTGTAAAAAGGCAGACCTAAATTTGAATCCTAGCTCTCGCTCAAGTTAACAAACATAAAGCCTCAGTTTCTCAACTCCAAAATGGAAATAATGATGCCTTGTATGGAACTGTGCATGCTGCAAAGACTGGTCGTAGGCTGCCTAGTCTAGTCCCTGCCATAAAGCATGCCTTCAACAGGTGGAAGCAATCGATTAATATCCTTTTGGCTTCAAAATCACTGCATTGGTTTATGTCTTTATGCCCTATCTATATTTACAACCACCAAGTTCATCCAGTTACAAGGACATTAATAAAGTAATAAGGTTATTGATGAATTTTTACAAACCTGTCTCAATCCTTTACAATGGACTTTATTCATTTCTGCCCATTGAGGGTTGAGAACAAGTCTGTCTTGTTCTCAGATCCCCAGTACCATGCACAATGCCTATAGAACTCAATAAATGTTTATTGAATCCATGAACCTAATCTTACTTTTCCCATTCCCTTTTAGAGGCCACAAGAAGAGAAATATCCTGTAGGACCATGGCTGTTGGCACTGTTTGTTTTTGTTGTCTGTGGCTCAGGTATGGGCATTTCACTGAACTTATACCCCATGTCCTCCACTGTATTTCCAAAAACATGTGTTGTTCATGAAGTAAATAGATGAAAAACACATTGGTCTGGAATTCAAGTTTATCGCTGCCTCAACCCTTAATCTTAATGGGTTTTGATTTAGTTTCTATTGCAAATATGAGTAGAGACGGAGTTGATACACTATCAAATCATAATCATAAAATGATTATGCAGAGCAATTAAACCCGTTGTCTACACTACAGAGTTCAGTTAAGTCTGTCTGTGAAGACAGAGCCTAAAAGGAGCCTTAGAAGAGAAAGTGGAGCACCTGTCTGCCTGAGATCAATCCACATTCCAGAGAAAGGAGAGGCCTTTTGGAGAACTTTTGAGGAAGTTCTACAGAGCTCCTAGGTAGAACTGAGCCTTTGACCTGAGCCTTAAGGTAGGGTCACCTGATACACAACTCAGAGAGTTTAACTTGAACACAGGCAAAGACACACACCAGCACAGGAGAGGTGAGCAAAAGCACATGCAGGCGTTTCTAGTTAAAGGCTGTTGTTGGGAGCCTGGGCCATGGTTCCTGGTCGCTGTGTGTTTGGTCTCAGAAATACTGATGAGTGGAGACTGCCTCTCCTAACTCGAGGGCGCGCCTGCAGGGGTTCCCGTCCTCGGACCTCACTGTCACTGAGGACGGGGAAGGGGAGAAATCCACATCTTCCTGCGCAGGCTTCAGCCTCCCAGGAAGACATCCTCTGTCCCACTGACAAGAAAAGCCGCAGACTAAAAACAGCTCAGTTCCTTTGATCTTCAAGACGTCACTTTTCCAAGGAAACAAAAGCTCTTAAAAGGAAGAAGGGGTCTGAAGTGGGTGGCTCAATTGTTGCTTGTGGCTCAAATACTTTAAAGATAATTTGGCATTCCAAGATGAAAAAAATATTCTACTCCAAGAAACAAAAGCTCTACCCCATTCCCAAAAGTGTGTTCTTGACAACATCTTTTGCCCTGGGTAGGAATTCCCTCATCCCTATTTTTAACAGCTGTTTACCTCATCTCTGCTTGAATACTTGTGAGGATGGGGTGTTCACTTCTTCAAAAAGCCAATTCCATTTCTGTTGAGCACTGATTCTACTGGAAATATCTCTCTTGTCTTGATCTACACGATGCCAGTCTTGTCAATAGTTCAGGCTTAGACTCCTCGTATAACAGAGTGGACTCACTATCCTCTGAGCATCTTGAGTCTTCAGCTATTTTAAAGATGACTGCCTGGTGGCTTCTTCTGCAAAGTAAACTTTCCTTGTTCTTTCAACCTTCCCTCATAAGATGTTGTTTCTAGATGGATATTTTCAATGACAACCTTAAAATGTAGCATTTGCAACTATATAGCGGGTAGTCTGGAAGTGGTGCGACTACCACAGGGGCAATAGGAGTGTCACTGCCCTTGATTTCACCCAACACTCTGCTTTTGTTACTGTGAATGGACTTGCAGTGACTTTTAACAGTCACTTAAATCCTTGACTCACGTGGAGCTGGTGGCCAGCCAGGCCCCACCCAGTTCTTCATCACTGAACTTCCTGCAACCTCAGAGAGAGGCATCTGCTACCCCCTTATCCCAAGGTCTCCCTGTCCCCATCACATACTGTTTTATTTTACTCATGGCTTTCAGAAGCATTTGCAATTGTTTACTTATTATTCATTTTCCTCCACTAGGATGTAAGCTCAGGGGAGGCAGTTTTCATTTTCCACTAAATTTGTAGATCCTAGTGTGGTATTCAGCATACAGAGGGTGCTCAATGTGAATGGATGGGTGTATGAATGAACGGATGGACAGATGGATGGATGGATAAAGCCAGATATTCCCACCTTATATCAGGGGTGTCCAACTTGTGGCCCACGGGCCACATCACATTATGTAAGGACTTTTTTTTGCTTATCTGTGGTAGCAGATATCATGAAAATTATGCACTGATTGTTTTTTGTTTCTTTTGTTTTGTTCATCAGCTTTTGTTAGTGTTTGTGGTATTTTCTGTGTGGCCCCAAGATAACTCTTCTTCTTTCAGTGTGGCGCAGAGAAGCCAAAAGGTTGGACACCCCTTCTAGATTACTTATTGACCTTTTATGAGACTTCATGTAAAGCTTCATGATTATTTCTATTAATATTGTTGGTTGTGAGTTGTTTATCTATAGAATGTTTATGAAGTTTGGAAACATAGACAAACATATATAATAAGTGGCTTATTGATATTAAATTATACTATGTGATGTGGTCAGTGACAATGCATGATACGTTCCATGGATTGTCCTTCATCAGCAATGCATAGTTCAAAGCATTGTACAAATTTACAAGAATATGGCACATTAATGCAACATTCCCATCGGTACCTACATATTCATCTGGGATGCATTGCCTCAGATGATATGTCTCTGATTTTTCACCCCCAAACAAAATAAAGTTAAACAAACAAACAAAACAGTGCCATTAGCTTGCCACAGGAAAATCAAGAAAGAAAATCAATCTATACAAAAAAACTTACCTATGTTTTCAGGCTTTAACCGGTCTGTAGACTGTTGGATCTTGAAACTTTAGCTTTGATCTAATAATCTTTTTTCTCAGCTTTACCATCTCTGAAAGTATATTGTTCTGCCAAGTCATGGATACAAATGTAGACTTAGAGAAGGATGCAGAACACAATTAGAGACAACCTCTTTCAGGCTGACTTTGAACCTCTATTCAAATACTCACCATGTCTCAAGGTTCCCCTCTGTGCCTGGCCCTAGCCTGGACTTTGAAAGTACAGTCCCCTTGGTGGGAGCTTGCAGGCACCAGGGAAGGCAGATGAGGAAGCTGTCAGCTGTATGTAGCCCAGGGAAAGGACACTTCCCTGATGACAGCAGGGCTCAGAGAGCTTGGCACACATGGATAAGGGACTTCTAAAAGAACTCAGCAAAAGAGAAAGTTTCCAAGAGGAGGTGGCTGTTTAAAAACCAAAAAGCCAGGCAAAGGGTATAAGGAGGGTAACTCCCATGGGGGGCTGCTATGTGGCAGAGGCATGGAGGGTTGAGATAGTGCACAGAGCTCAAGAATGTAAGGCGTTCAAAATGGCCAGAGCCCGGTCACAGGGCTAGCTGATCACATGCCTGTAGTGTGAAGGGTCTAAACAGATACAGAGCCAATATTTGTTTCTTTTTTGGCTTCAAGATACACACAGTAAACTGTGGCCTTCCCCAGTCTGCCCCCTAGGTTAGCCTCCAGGGTAAAAAAGAGAATAGAGTCCTTCAGTCTGGCTCCTTTTTCTCAAATCCATGCTAATTCTCAAATTCCAATTCTCCCACTATCATATGGCCTACATTTTGCCAGGCTTACCGGTCCATACAGCAGAAACGATCACTTTTTTTCTTGTATAAATTGGGACATCTGCTGACAACAATCTTTGGAACTCTCCCCGTCTGCAGTAATTTCTCAGGCATCAAGCCCATCGGCTCCGCCGTCTCCTCTGCAGGTTTGTCCGGGGCACAGGGAATGAGGCTGCAGGGCCAGGAGATTTGGGCAGAAGAAGCTGAGAGGACATACTCCTTATTCCTGTATCACAGCTTCCCTCCCTTAGTGCCCGGGGCTTTTTTAACGACGCTGCTTTAACTCTTTCCAGGTAGAAGACTATCTTGCTTTTATGGAGAGGTTAGACGTGAAATGAGTTACGTCTTCTCACTTTCTCCATCCTCTGTTAACATGCTACCATGATTCCCCAGCAAGGGGCCTCACCCTTCTTCAATCACAACAAAAGTAATCCACTGCCACTTTTTTTTTTGCCAACTTTAGCATTTTTTTTGCAAGCCTCAGCTCAAGTCAGGCACTGTTCTCACAGAAATGTGTCACTCTTCTCAGTTTGTCCTTGGTACTGTGCCCTTCCTTCTATCTTTGTACACGTCCTCTTCTAAACAGAACATGTCATGAAAAACACAATAGCTCCTTTAGATCTGTCCCTGTTGCCACCTCTCCGGGATTAGTCACGATTGGTTTCATCTCGAAGAGCCTACCATCCCTCTTGAGTGTCTCCTTTTTTAGGGTTGCAGGCTGCACGCTTCTACCTGTCTTCTCTCTGCATTTAAAAGAATGTGATTTTCTCGAGTCCAGACGATTTCCCAGATGCTCCACTTTAGGTAACAAGCCTTCTTGTAGGGGCAGGGACGTGGATGCCCCCCTCACTGGTCTGTCTGGCCTGTGTTCCAGCCTGTACTCCAAAATACGAAAGAGCCCCTGCGCCTCTTGTCTGACCGTCTGCTGTGTGCACATCTGCAGCCCGTTACACCTGCAGGCGCACTGGGGGGTCTCATGGGACTCCCCACCTTCTCCCTCTACCTCTCATTCCTCTTTGCTTCGAGTAAGATAGACCTCCGTGCCAGGCTCAAGTTGCTTTTAACCTAGTTCCAGTGAGGCCTTGATGGTCATATGATCTTCTCTGACTTCACATGGTTGTTTACTCTTATTTTTTATATTTTTATGCAGACACTAAAGAAAAAGTCAAAATCTTCTATTATTAATGAAAATGCCGCTCACTGATCTGAATCTCTTGAAAGCCTCACTTGCGTTCATTACCTTATCAACCTGCTTTTCCCTCTGATGACTGGCTGGGTAAAGTGCTGGTTTTAGAATAGTGCCGATGTGCCCAGGGTATATAAACATTCAGCCAGGCAGGGAGCGAGGGATGCGTATTTTATCTGCTTCTCCCACTATATTCAGGGAAGAATTTGGGCTGGTAAAAACTTGCTATTGAAGGATATGCCCACTCATTGGTTCCCCTACACTCTATTTTATGTGGAAAAACAGGTTAACAAGCGGCACAGCTGTGCACAGGCCCCCTGATTAGGCATTCTCCTGTGTCACTGCCCTCCTCCCTGTTCTCTACTGCTATCTTTCACGCCTGTGGTGCTGATAAGAGCGAGATAATGACAAGGAAGGAAGAAGGACCAGGAGAGCAGTGAGGAGACAGAGTCCAGGCCCCAGAGACCCCCGGCACAAACACACCCAGGAAATGCCTCCTCCATCACTGAGAAATCAGATGGGAGCCACAGATATCCCAGGGCTGCCCCAGCGTCCAG